AGTTGGGTGGCTAACCGAAAAGAGCGCCAATTCAACCCTATCAGAAAGACGGACAGCCTTCTCTTGTTAAGATTTACAACTATGGAAACTGATAAAGGGTCACCCTAAGCTGGAATCAATTTGGCAGCCGTGGGTTTGGGTTGGGGGGTTGGCCTGGGCATGAGGTACAGCCTTGTCACTCAGTGTGACAGGGACATTACATCTCTGAGCTTCCATTTTTTTCCTTTATAAGCAGAGAAGCTCTGCTCCAACTGGGCCCTGAATTTAGCACAGAGGACGTAGCCTTGAACCTGGAAAACTGTCCTCTGGTTGCTTCACCTTAGCTCCTCTGCACACAATTGCCATTTTCTCCGGACCTCTGAAGCAGAGACCAACTTCACTCCCATCAGTCTGCAGGACCAGAGGCATGCTTTAGCCTCATCCTGCCCTGAGCTGTTCCGTGGCGGAGACACAGCAAGACTGCACTGTGGAGGACAGGTGCCAAGGGCACAGGAGTGCCAGGGGAGGGTCATACATTGAGATGCAAGGTGGATCCCAAGTGGCATCAGTGGTTTCACAGGTCAGAGTTGGATGGTTTTTTTTTTTTTTTTGTGGTTCTGGATTCCATCTATAGTTGTGAACTGCTAAAACATCATGCCAGTGCCAACTTAAAAGTAACTACACAGCCATCACTTGTATGTCAGTATTATGGTGGCTGTGACACCAGAAACTATGCCACTTGGATTTTAAGTTATCAGTAGGGTAACTCATTAGGAACAGGTTTCAACAAGGCTTTTAGAGTACGAATAAGGAAAAGGAACTAGTGGCCAATTAAAAAAATAACCATGAAAATCTTATGCATAGCAGCCCTGAACAGTTAACTGTGTTCAAGAATAACTTGTACTTAGACCAATAAGCAGGTTTTTCTTTAATAAGAACAAGGGGACACTTTGTATTTTAATTATGAAAGATGTGAACTAGAATTGTATACTTAACCCAAATCCATTCATCTGTATTTTGAATGAATGCTCTGGGAAGCTGGATTATTTGAAGAATGTGGCATCAGGGTTGGAGGAAGACTCATCAGCCATCTGCGATAGGTGAATGACACAATCTCATTTGTGTAAAATGAAGACAACCTGAAGCTCTTACTGATTGATGTAGCTAATAAACCACAACCTCCAGTACAGATTACAGCTGAACATAAAATTCCTCACAACTAGACTGAGAAAAGACTGAAGTTGTTGAGGATTTCATTTTACTTGGAACTACAATCAATGCTCACGGAAGCAATAATCAAGAAAGCAAGTGATGCTCTGAGCTAGGGGTGACGGATGCTTGCTTTGGACTGGACTTTGCTTGTGGATGCAGATGCTGAAAGTTTCCAAATTGAACAGAGGCTTCCTTAGCAAAAGGGATATGCTAGTTCTCTGAGAGTACTGATTTGATAGGGATGGGCAATTAAGACATTGGATTTCGAAAAGGGGGATATAAAGGCACAAGGCATGGCCTAGTTATTAGCAAAATGACTGTTAAGGGGGGGAAACCCCTCCACAACATACAGCAATGAAAAAAAATGTAAAAGATTGTATAAAACACAATACACATTCTTGAAACACACTGATAAAAATATTAATTAAAAAAAGAAACCAACTGATGAACTGCACTAGTAAATCTCTGCCAAGGCCCTCTTTTTTTTTTTTTAAGGCCCTCTTTACAGAATTTAAAAAGCATGGACACTTTGAGGACTCACTTCCGACCCATGATCTTTTCAAACATCTTACATGCTTTAAAAGCTGGACAATGAATAAAGAAGAGTGAAGGAGAATTAATACCTTTGAATTGTGTTGGCAGAGAGTATTGAATATACCACAGACTGCTTAAAATGTAAGAGTATTTCTGGTGAAAGTGAGTAGGCTGGAAGAATGAACAAATCTATCCTGGAAGAAGTATAGCCCTTCTTAGTTGTAGGGATCTTGAGACCATCTCACATATGTTGTCCATGTTGTCAGGAGGGACTAGTACCTGGTGAGCATTATGCTTAGTCGAGGGTTACTGAGAGAGGAAGACCTTCAACAAAATGGATTGAGACATGGTAACAATGATAAGGATGGTGCAGGATCAATGTTTCATTCTGTTCTGCACAAGGTTGCTGAGTAGAATCTGACATTAAGACAATGTACAGTAGAATGTGACTTTGGGTTATGCAAAACCCTAGTTGTGTTCCATTTAGCGGGACAATCACCCATACATAAATCATCAAACACAAGAATGCTAAGTGCTAAAGACCCCCAGGAGAAAGTGAGGGGAGAGAAGGCCCGACTTTGGAGAGAGAAAGGTACAGTGTGAGCTTTCAGGTACAGCTAGACACAATCTCTGCCCTATGGAGCTGAGCTCCAGGAGGCATGGGGGTGAGGAACTCCCAAGGTAGAAGGGCAAGCCATGGCTCCCATGTGACACTGGGTACCAGCCCTGCCTGTCCCCAGGCTGCCCCAGGGCTCTCCTGACTGCCCTGGGCTTTTGGTCAGAAGTAGCCAGGAGCTCTCCATCTTCCTTGCCTGTCCCAAGTGATGATGGTGTCTCCTAGAGTTCTCTGCAGGACCAGGGCCCTCAAGCCACATGACCCTACAATTAGAAAGTGACCATTAGGCAAGGGCTATGGAGGGTGAGGAACAACGCAGGCACAGTGCTATGTGGTGGGCAGATTCAGGCCTGAGGAGGGCTGTTTGCTCCCCACATCCAGCCTCGCTTCCAGTGCTGACTGGGGGCCCTGAAAGTGCTCACAGGTAGATAGGTGGGCAGGTGGCATGAAGCCTCTTCCTTGGCCGGTGGGACAGACATAGAGGCTTGGAGCTCAGAGTCCCCATCCCCCCAGAAGCCCTCTGGATACAGCAAGCTAGTTTTCCCCTGGTGCCAGGAAGAGTCCTTTGTGCATACCCCATGAGGTCCATGCATTGGCCAGTGAGCAAGGGAGGACAGCAGCTCTGGAAATGTCAGTGGGATGAGGGAGGCTGGGGGCAGGAATGAGGGAGGAGCCCTGCCACAGGTAGTGAGGGTTGAAGGGGCAGAGGGCCTGAGCATGAAGGGACCTCAGGAATGGTAGGAAGCCAGACTGGGGCAGTCCACACTCTGTATCATTGACTCATGCTCATTTTCTCTCAGTCTAGAGTCCTCAGGCAGGGCTGTCACCTCTAGTCTGGAGGGGAGGGGGTTCTTCCCCTCCCCCAGGAATCCTCTCTCTCCTGTGAGATCAGGTCTGGCCTACAGGCAGCTAAGGGGAATGGGCTGCCCCCTCCCTCTGGAAGTGACCCAACTAGCATATGGTTCTTTGGATCAACGCTGACTGCCCAGCTCAGTGCTGTCCCCCTGCAGTTGGAGCTGGTCACAACCGATCAGATCACAGTTGACTGCCCAGTTCAGGGGACCTCTGTCTTCTTTGTCCCCTTGACTTGAGAACTTGGTGCTCCTTCCCCTGGAAGAAGGCTCCTATGACCCCCTACCATGCTGGCACCTTGCTGACTAGGGGCAGGGTGGCCACACCCCCTAGATATGCAGCCTTCTGAGAAACCCCATCCTCTGCCTCCATCCTGGACTGTCCCCGTGTCCTAACAGAAACAAATGAGCTGGGTCTGGAACAAACCTAACTACGGCTGAACCTCATTACATGGCTATGCCCAGGAGGACCCAAACCTGTGGACTAGGGGCTGTGTTCCCCAGACGGCTGCCTGTGTCCTCTGCCCACCCGGGCCCAAAGAGGAAAGAGCCGGTTTTGTGTGTGCAAAACAGCTTTAATCGTCATGGCTGCTCTGTCCCAGCACCAAGATCTTACTGCACCGCCCAGAGTCCTGTCTCCAGGGACAGAGCACAACGAAGGTGTGGGGTCAGTGCGAGGGTGTGGTCCTGAGGTCCCAACCTCCCCACTCAGCAGCAGCGGGATCCAGGTGAGAGGCCACAGAAAGCGGAGCTCAGTATTTATATATTATACATATATATATATTTCATGTGTACACAGATAGTTTTCTCTCTTGAAAGTATTAAAAAATTGATCAACCTTCAATCTATAAAAAATACCTACTCTACATGATAGAAAAATCTCTCCTCCAAGTTTACACTGATTTACACCCAAGGCTTTCCCCCAAATATACAATTCAAAGCAACGTCTTAACTGTGAGTGTGGAAGGTGGGCCCCAGGAAGGGGGCAAACATGGAACGCTCACACACACACACACACGCTCGCACACACACACACATGCGATGAGGCGGCCAGCCTGCATGGCTGGTCTCAGTGTGCTGGGACCGCCATCACTCTGTCCTGGTGCTCAGGTTGGGGGTGTGTGGAGTGAGCTTCAACAGCTCTGAGGTGTCAACTCCACTGCTCCTGGAGGGCCACGGTGTGGCCATTTTAGCCCCAGCCTCCTGCAGACTCAGGGAAGGAAATTATGGTGAGACACCCAGAAGAGGAGGAGCTGGGCTTTCCCAGGCAGCATGGAGAATTCACTACAGTGCCTGTCCTGGACCCAGAGGAGGCTCCTAATAGAGCAGAGGGCCTGCTAGGCTCCAGCCCCAGCCATCGAGAGAGCCCCTGAAGGTTATTGCAGCAAAGGGTGCCTTGAGTAGTTCAGGGGATGTCTGTTATTAGTGTCAATAACACTGGTATTGACAGACACCCTAAGGAGCTGAAACGAGAGACCCCTCCCTGACCACCACATCCAGGCTGAGGCTAGGACTGAGCTCATCCAGCATAGGCAGACACCCTGGTGGAGTCCCTGGTGGACCCCATTCTGTTCCCTGATGCACCAAAGCCCCAGGGTGGGCAAATGTGCAAGAGTGGGTCCAACAGGGTGGTAGGGGGCTCGCCCAGTCTGGGACCTGCCCATGGTCTATGCAAAAAGGGGATGCAGCCCCTGGGTGGGCACAAGCCCCAGCACCTCTCTATGAGGCCTCTTGCTCCCATGCCAGCTCTGGGCCATCAACGGCTGGGCAATTGTTCCTGCTGCAGTTGCACGTGCTGTGGCGGTGCCCTACTTCACCTCCAGGATGGATGGGTTGGTCTCCATGATGGCCACGATGATGCGGTCAATGTAGTCCTGCAGGCGGAGGTTAATCTCCTCCTGCTTCTGGATCGCCTCCATGAGCTGCAGGGACAGAGGGAGGTAGGCGCCTGGGTGCAGGAGGGAGGTGAGCACAGGGTGTGTGAGGGGTGAAGCCAGGGCACTGTGAAGATGCCTGAGGCAGGCAAGGGGGATTGTAGCAGGAGTGGAGCCCAGGCAAGTTGGGGAGGCTGGGGGCAGGAATGAGGGAGGAGCCCTGGTACAGGTAGTGAGGGTTGAAGGGGCAGAAATGGGGTGGGTAGGCGGGTAAAGTCCCCTGTGCAGGTAGGGAGGGCTGAGGCTGAGGCTACCTCATCGCGGGAGACAGAGCTGATCTCTGCGGCCAGGGACTCTGAGAAGGCGGTTGAGAAGAGGCTCTTGGCACCCTGGATGCTCAGGTTGATGATCTGCCCATTGAGCTCATCATTCAGCTCCTTGAGACTCCGGTTGTCCTGAAGTATTGGGAGTGTCCATGTCAGTGTGAGCACAATCTGTCCATGGTGCACTCTGTCCCACTCTGCACTGGCTCTCCATGCAGGACACACACATGCAGGGCCACCTGCCTACCTGCTTAAGCCTGCGGACCTCCTGTTCAAGCTCGCTCTCCCGGGTGCGGCTGTGGTACTCCTGCAGGCCAGCACTGTTGCTCCGGCCGCGACGCTGCTCTGCTTCCAGTTTAAATAGCTGAAGATGCTCCAGCTGTTTGCGGAGGTCCTCGATCAGCTGCAGGAGGAAGGGCAGAGTGAAGGGCGAGTATCCAGGGGCAGAGATCCAGGGCACTCAGGTGGTATGGGGCGGGTCATAGAGGCAGTGGGACATGAGGAACACAGAGTGTTGATCTGGGTGTGGGGCTACAGGGGGTGGGGGTGTGTGCAGAATGGTCATGGCAGGACCAGGTATCTGGGACGAGCTCGGCAGGCCTCTCTGGACTGAATCTTGAGTGCAGAGGGGTGAATATCTTTTGTAACACACCCTGTATCCAGCATCTCTGCCTACCACAGTCTGAGACATGCATCCTGGAAAATGGGAGTTTCTAGGAGAAACCAAGTTTCTCCTTAGAGGCTAGGATTTTGAAGCTCTGTCTCACAAACTTTGGGCATGTGGCCAGGAGAAACCAGTCCTTGGAGAAGGATATCATGCTTGGAAGAATGGAAAGACAGTGCACGAGAGAAAGACCCAGGATGAGATGGATTGGTACAGTGACTGGGGAAATGGGGGGTTGATGTACTGGAATTACTGAAACGGGCTCAGGACAGGGCAGGGTTCAGTGCTGCTGTACACTGGGTCACGATGGGTTTCAGGCAACTCAACAGCACATAACAATAACAACAGGCTTTGTCCAGCCAGCTCACACACAAAGGCAGACAGCCTTACTGCTAACGACACATGACATTATGGGCTAGAAACCTGGCAGGGTTCCCATTTAGGGTGAGTGACATAATGACATGATGATGATGATAATGATGAGGGTGCTCCGGGAATCTGGGGGTGTGAGCAGAGATTGCTTAACATTTCCCACTGGCCTGGGTGCCTGTCTAGGGCACTTCTGGCTCAAAATCTCTGAAGCCCACCATGGAGACTCTCATTTGGCCCTTACAATGGCTTCAGAGTCACCAGACACCTCCCCAGGACAAAGGAGTGGACATGAAGAAGGAGTGTGGGGATAAGTGTGGAATGAGTAGTGCTGCAATGAAGGTGGAGGAACAAGGGGCATGGATACAACAGTAGAAGGAACAGAGTTAGCTGACTAGGGAACTCACCTCCTGGGTGGACTCCTTGTCCTTCTGGAATTGGTGCCGCTCTTGACTCAGCCGGTCACCCAGTCTGCGCCGGCCCTCCTGTTCCTCGCTGAGCCGCAGAGTCAGGTCCTCAATCTCATCCACCAGTTTCTGTTTCTCCTATAAAGAAATGAATAACTGACTGTCATGCTGGTGATTCTGACTCAGTGATTCTAAAAGACATCAGGCACAGCTCCATGGGGCATCCCAGGATACAGGTCTTTACTAAGCATATTGGCACATCTTTCTCCTATCAACAGCTGGTAGCTTTGAACCACCAATCTTTTGGTGACTGAGCAGCTTCATGCTTTCCCACGTCAGAACACACCACCCATTTCACCCATTATAGCAGCTGTCTCACCCCAGGGACACAGGCAGTTCTGATCCAATGAAGCATGGCGGCAGGAGAGCCGCAGGAATGTGCACTTGAACTGGGCTTCTCCATAGACCTGGCTGTTCCTGAGCAGAGATCAGGAATAGCACAAAGAAAGGTGGGCACAGAGCCTGCAGGCTCTCTCAGTAGTGAATGCCTGTGCTGATCTGGTCCCACCCACAGAAAAATCCCTACCAGGTACAGCAAGCTGCCCCCTCTCAGAGCACTGGCCTCACCTCCTCCAGGCGCTCAATGCTGGCCTTCAGGCAGGGCGTGCAGGACCGAAGCTCCCCATTCTCCTCATCCAGCTGCTGCAGCCTGGGGCACAGACAAGGCTGATGTCATGCCAAGTAATCCTGGACTCCCTGCTTCTCCAGAGAACTTCACTGAAGAGCTGTCCCACTTTACACCTGCCCTGGTGGCCGTACTCTAACTCCTCAGCCCTCACTTTTCCTTCTGCTTAGCCTGTTCTCCTCCTGCTTCTGCTATTCAATACCAAGAGGGTTGTCACTACTGAGCACCCATGATGATATGCTTCACCCAAGTTCCAGGCCTGAATGGGTTCTGACAACACCTTCTCCTGTCCAGGACCTGCCTCTGTGTGTCCTCAAGACTTCCTTGTTTCTCAGGACCTGGGAGATCATCTGCCCTTTATCTGCACTCCTTGGAGTTATTTACCCACCCCCTAGGTGATGCAGACCCTTCCTTGGGTGATACAGTCCCTGCTCCATGACTCAGTCACACCCCCACTCCGGGAGACAGCTCCAACTTCAGGTGACTCAGTCCCCCGCCCCCATGACTTTTCTGTGACACCCTGAGGAACCTAATGCTGCCTCTGCTTTGTGACAGCAGCACTTGCCCAGTCCTACTGCTGTGCCCCATGCCTGCCTGCTCCCCATAGGTGGGTAGGCACAGGCTACACACAGTCAACACCTTCAAGCACTCTGTCCTGTCTCCTGCTTTAACACCAGCCTATTCCCCAAGAACCTTCTGGAAACTCTGCCTTTTAGGGGTTCACGGCACTCATTACAAAGAGCAAAGACCCCTTCCCAATACAAATACTGTCTCCATCTGCTTTAGGAGCCTCTCAAGGGGCCAAAGGCACAGATGTGTGTGTATGTGTTGCTCTAGCAGTCTGGTCCTGTACATGTGGATGGCTGAGACCACATGTTCAAGAATCCTTGTGTTGGGCAACTGTTTGAGGCTAAGTTTACCCCAGTGGTATGCCTTTTTGGGGGTGGTGTGTGTATGTGTTGCTTTTGCTAACCACACCTCCTCTTTGATTTGAAGGCTCCAGTCACCCACCTGGCCTGCAAGTTCTCGATCTCGATGCTCTTCTCCCGCTCCATGCGGCATAGCAGATCCCTCTGCTTCCGGGCCTCCTCCAGGACCAGTTCACAGGTCCGCAGCTCCTGCTCTTTCAGCTGCTCCTCCAGAGCGTTGGCTCTGCAGAGATAAGAGAGGGCTCAAGGTGAGCACCTGGAGAGCCCCAGGTGAGTGATCATTGGGTGCACTGTAGAGGGAGGCTTAAGGGACACTTGGAGAGGGAAGGGAGGTGTGAGGACACAAGGACACATGGAAGGCAGAGGTGGCTTTCTGCACATGCTCCAACTGTTCCACTGCACCACCCTGAGCGAACCCTGCTGCAGCTGAGAGCAATGGCACAGCAGCAGATGCCATCTTCGTCAGTCCTGAATGAGATCTCATCCCAACCCGGACACATGCCAGACCTGACCCTCAATGCATGCGAGGCCTCTGGAGACACATGGCAAGCGTACTGACTCTGGAAGGGTAAGGATAATGGAGACACAGCCCATGGGATCTGCACTGACTCCTGGGTGCAGAAGACTCTGGGGACACAGCTCCTGAGACTTGCATTAACTCTTGGGAGAGATTCTGAGGACATAGCCTGGGGGAGACTGGTGAGGAGACGCTCTGGGGACACAGCTCATGGGTCCTTTCTGTCTTGGTAGCAGATCAGCAGCCTGTCTTCCTGAAGTGTATGAGGATTTGATGAGATGACAAATAGACCCAGTGAGACAAAGTCCTTGCCCCATGGCCACTGAGTCCATAGTGGGGCCAGGGTGTGGACTAGGCAGCTGGCAAAGAGACCAAGTTCAAAGGGCTCCTAGGAGATGCTACCACAGCTATGCTCACAGCTCAGCTGGAGAATCAAGCAGTAGAGCCTAGTCTTTCGCCACAGCAAACATTATCTTTCCTCACCCGAACATCCAGCTTTCCTCCTCACCTCACGTAAGCCACCAGCCTTCCCCACCTCTCCCTCACCTGTGCACGAGCTGCAGGTTCTCTTGCCGCAGGCGGCTGTGCTGTTCTCCGTTAGCCATGCTGTCCTTCTCCAGCTCTAACACCCGCTTCTCCAGGAAGACAACCTGTGAACATGCCACTGGCTTGAGAAGCAGCTGAAATTTAGAGGCCCATGCCTTCCAGGAACATGCTTTCCATGAGAACAGAGACCTGCACAGACCCAGCTTGCTCTTGGAGTTGTCCCACCCACTTGCCTGCTCGTGGTCTTCAGAGCAGATGTAGAGGTCACTGGGGCCCTAAGGTCTAGGGTAGGCTTTAGGAGTATTTCTGACCCACAGCCCCAGGATAGCCCATATGCCCAAGATGCAGGGATAGAATGGCTTTGAGTCCTGCTTCTTCCTTCCTCCCTAGAGGTACAGACATTGTCACAGGTGAGGGGAAGGCAAAAGTGAGGAGAAGAACTCTTAGCCTTTAGGGCCAGAGAAAGTTGAGGAGTTAGAGCAGAAGATGAGGATGGGACAGCAGAAGGTGATAAGGGAAAAGGAAGAGATGAGGGAAGAAAAGGAGAACAGGAGACAAGAGAAGGTGAGGAGGGGGACAAGAGGAGTAAGCAGGGAATGGGAACAGCAGTAGGTAAAGAAGAAAGAAGGGATAGCAGGCAGTGAAGAGAAGGACCAGGAGGTAAGAAAAGGCCAGTTGGAGGTGAGATGAAGGCCATCCCAGCCACCTGGTGCCCCACCTTGTCAGCGATGGCCTCCTCGATGCCCTCCACGGGGTCGGGGAGTGGGTCCTCCAGGGCTTCCATGGTCAGGGCCCCCGACTGGTGCAGGTGCCTGAAGACAAGACACAGGAGTCGTCCAATGAACAAGAAGAGGAGGGAGAGATGAGAGCAGAGCACAGTGCACAGGAGTGAGGCGGCTGCTGCTGCTTGAAGACCTCGCTCTCTCAAGGGCAGCATGGGCTCCTGAGGACGCCTGTACCGGAGTCCTCCCAGGGTGCTCTTTGGAGTGAAAGGGAACCCTGATCTCATCTAGGGCCAGGCTCTCAAGATAAAGTACTTTGTACTCTATGACAATAAAAATATGTGGAGCAAACACAGGAGCTCTCAGCTACTGCTTAAATTGAGTATCAAATATAACTGATACACAGTCAATAATCAGTTGATTGAGACCTTCTAAATAGTAAGCCATTATGTAATTAAAAATAATTCTCAAGAAGAGTGAGAAAACATACAGATTGGGGGGGGGGAAATATTTGTTAATGACATACTTGATAAAGACTCACCTCTCTAAAATTTCGAGGAACTCCAACACCACAACCAGAAAAAGAAAAATAACTCACGCCAAAATGGGCAGAGGACATGAATAGATACTTCACCACAGATGGCATTCAGATGGTCAACAAATATGAAGAAATGCCCGGGATCACTAGCTATCAGATGCAAAGTAAAACTGTAGTGGGCTGTCATGTGATTCTAGTAACAATACAACATAAACAACCAATGATGGCGAGGATGTACGGAGACTAGAACCTTAATTCACTGTTGGTGGGAATATAAAATGGTGCACCCACTCTGGAAAGCAGTTTGGAACAGGACCGTTTGATCCAACAATCTAAATACTGGGTGTATTATCCTAAAGAAATAAGAGCTGTGATGGGAACAGATACATCTACATTTATCACAACAAAATTAATGCTGTTGGAAACATCCCAAGTGCTTATCAACAGAAAGGCTAAAGGAGCAGTGTGGCATTCACACAATGGAGCGTTGTGTATCACTACAAACAATCAAGAATTAACAAAATACCCCTTTTCTTTCCTTGGAGAGTGACCCATTCCTCTCTGTAACAAACTTTCTTTTCCTTTCTCTAGTAAACTGCTTTTACGTAAAAAAATAAAAAGAACAAACAAAATATTGCATAAGGTATGTCAGTTATGAAAGGGCAATTATGGCACAAGACCACGAATGTGAAAACTAAGCAATGGTTTAAATCTGTAGAAAAGTCAATCTTGGAGGGCTAACACAGATGAGAATTAAAGGAGAAGGGAAGAGAAAATCTTAAAAAAACGTTTTTGTGCAAGTGTATATAAAAAATAGATAAACATTATACACATTTCTTTTTTAAAAGAGTATACCTCCCTAATATCTATCGTTTAGCTAGAAATTGAAGGGAGAGTATGAGGAGGAATCTGACACTGGCTATCCTAAGATAGAGGCCAGTGACCATGAGCACAGACTTACCACCAGGGACCTCCGTCACACTTCCCAGGAATGTCCCAAGCCTGTTCTTTACAGCACTCAACTGTCCTGGGGAGCCACACCCTGGAGCCCAGCATGCCTGTCCGAGCCTGCTACCACAGCAGCTCCACCGTCAAGTCTTGTCCATGGGTTCCCAGCTCTGTGACTGACAGCAGTGGGAGAGAAGGAAGTGGACAGACTCTGGTCCTGGTGGAAACTCTAGGTCCCTCATCACGGATTCCACACAGGGGCACCCCTCATCATGGGCTTTAGGCAGGGACACCCCACAGGGCTCACCTGCTTCCATCCTAAGATGTGAACAGCCTGGGCAGGTGCTCAAGAAGCACAGCTGCCAAGTGACCCTGTCATTCTGGAAACATTCATTTGCCTCTGGTTCACCCAGGGCACTGCAGACACCCAAATGATACACCTGCTGAGGAGGGAAGGGAAGTGATGCTCAGAGCTGCTACCCAGCAAAGAGAAAGAGAGCTGCTGGCAGGAACCTGACTGGGCTGTGCACATCAGCAGCTCTGTGAGGATCTGGAAAGGGCAAATCCTACACTGCACACATGGATTATGTTCTCACAGGTCCTGACAGGCTGAATCCTACACATATGGACATTTTCAGAAGACCAAGAGCGAGTACGTTAGATTTCTCTTTTAACTTCAGCACTGACTCAGCTTAAGCATTTTCTAAATTATTTTCCCTCTCACCCTGAAGCATTTTAAGGGAGGAAAAAAGATGGCGTTTGCCACGGCCGGGTCAGAGTCTAGTAAGTACTCCAGATGGTGGATCCTGAGCACATCCTCTGGAACTTCCTTGCAATGGGGGCCTCAAGTGTGTCACGGGTGGGCACAGGGAACCTCCCCTGAGACTGTGGAGCCCTGAGTGTCACGGGAGAAAGATGAGGATGTCAGCTGGTCCCAGAAGGTAGAACAACTGAAACCCTTTCTTCCGGTTGTTACATGTACTTTCCCAGCTTACATCTCCACTGGCTCTCAAATAAGCCCTAGATTCCAAGAAGGCAAGGTCTGGGCCTCCTGACTATAGAGTCAGGGTATGGGGACAGGAAAGACACATTATATCTAAGTCAGTGTGCCAGGCCCCACCAAGTCCTTATATCTCATCTGTACAGCAAAACAGGTCTGGGAGCGTGGTGCGCACGCAGAGACACATGACTCCAGATCCCATGATCAGCTGTAAGGTGCCCACCCTCAGGGGGTGACAGCCTGAATGTATGTGGAGACATATTGGGACAGAGGTGCAAGGGGCTGCCTGGTACCCACCAAGCTGACATGGTCGCAAAAAATAAAAATATGAAAGAATATGAACAAAGAAATGACTCAAGATGTCTTCTGTAACTGAGGGACATGAGCATCCAAATGGAAATAATATGGTTTTTGTTCTGCTCAAAATGTCTAGAAAAAAAATTACTCACAAGAATCCCACCTGAACCCTAAGAGCATCAGGTGGGAAAGTGTCACAGAGGACCAGGTACAAGAGAGCATGACAAGGGAGCTCTGGTGGCCTAGTGGCAAGAAGCTCCGCTGCAATCCCAGAGGAGTGCGGTTCAAATCCACCAGATGCTCTTCCAGAGAAGGAGGGACAATCTCCTCTGTACCAGTAAGATCTGATTTGACGGCACACACACACAAAATAATAATTTTAAAAAATTTGTTGTTGTTCTTATGTGCCATCGAATCGCCTGCGACCCATAACGACCCTATGTACAAGAGCTCTATACATTCTTCTATCCTGTGCCAACCTAGCCATCTCAAATGCACTTATTCCCACTTCTCCAGTCACAGAATCGATCCATCTCATCAAAGGTCTTCCTCTCCTTTGCCGCCCCTCCACTCTACCAAACGTGATGTCCCTCTCCAAGGAAAAAAAAAAGAGCATGACACCTCTCAGCAGAACCCTGAGTGAAAAGATAACAAGGAGAGATCTGGAGATCATGGTCCTGAGCCACCCTTCAGGCCTGGAACTCACTATTGATGCAACTCCAGCTAAACAGGAGACAGGCCCAAAAGGTGATCAGCAATACCTGAGAAAAATACACTCCCTTGTGTCATTAAAGGGCAGCATCTGCCCAGAGGGAAAGCGGGAAGACTGGAAGGGACAAGAAAGAAGGATGAACAGGCAGAGGAAACACAGGAGGAAAAGGGAAGAACACTGTCACATTGTAATCACTGTCACGAAACAACATGGGTATAAATTGTTGGAATAAAAAACAGGCTTGTCACAACAAAAAGTTATTTTTAAAAAATCCTCAAGGAAATTTATTTTCAACTTGGAGTTCGACCCCTAGCCCTACCTGAAAGAGTGCGATAACTGAGTTTTGAACAAGAAAGTTTCCTGCACTGCTTTTCTCAGGAAGCTTTATGAAGAGGACAAGAGGACACGGAGCTGACTGAGCAGTAAGGAGATCAAGGATCACAGCACACAGCTGAAAGGGCAGGGTCCTCAGTGCAGAGCTGAGGGAGTCCGACCAAGATAGTGGGGCAGGAGCTCAGAGAAAGCGAGAGTGTGCTACACTGCCTCAGAAAAGCTTACTGAATGGGCAGCAGAGGGGAGTGCCATCGTACCGGAAGAAAAGGCAGACAAATATATGATGCCTCCTTCAGTTTGTTCAGTAGGAGGAAGCACCTCCTCAAGTGTCATGAGAGGTCTGCTGTCAGGCATCCCTTCACCCTCACAAAAGCAGTGTTGGCTGGCAAGGACCACTTGGGCAGAAAAAGCACAGTGAGGTAGCTCCAGCTGGCAGTGGCTCTATGAGCCAGGCCGTGCTGAGTGATCTGCTGAGCCCATCCAGAGTCTTTGTGGATACCAGTCCTCTGATCATGGTGGGCTTTGTGGACAATGGTCCTCTGTGGACACTGGTCCTCTGGGCTGCAGCAAAGACCCAGTAATGCAGGGTATGTGATTCTTTTAAACTACACATCCTGCCAGATACAGGTCTCAAACCCACCACTCTGAGTACTTCTTTCATTACTGGGCCCTTTTAATTATTTAACCATGAAAAATCTTAAGCCATGAAAAATAACCAACAGAAGTTTTCCTAAATACCTTTGAAAGAATTCTTTTCAAAAGCTCTTGAAAAAGACCCTGATGAATAATACGTTTTAGAAGAACATTTTAAAATAAATAATAAAGCACTTTGCCTACCTTGCAACCTTCTTGCTGGAGAGGCGCTTTGTCGGGCTGTGTAGAAATCAAAATAAACAGGAAAACTGTGTCACAGAACAGGCAGAGGAGTGCGGGAGGAAACAGGAAATTCAGGCTGAAGAGATATGGCTAGGCTGTCCTTCCAACGGTACACACAGGCATGCAGCCCGTCCCCCAGGCAAGCCCCGCATAGACACCCTAATAGCAAAGCATGTGAGGGAAGGAGCATTCAAGGCTCGTGCAGGTCTCCTGGTCACTCATATCCCAACCCCAGTGATACCTGCAGAACTAAGTCGGGCTGGTCAATGCCATATCCCAACCTAAAATAATGTGCTGCCTCTCACACACTCAGCCAGCAGAGGGCTGACCTTAACCTGGCTGGTTCTCGCTTAGGAGCTGGGATCTGGCCAGGCGTCTCCAGCAGAGGGAAGCCAGAATTATTTGAGTTTTCATGTCTGACATTCTGTCATAAAATAAGCCTCTAAAGACACTCCATCTCCCAGGATACAGGTTACACTGCCTGAGGCCATAAGGAGGTTCTCCACCCCTCTAAATTGCTCAGTACAAATACAGGTGACGTTGGGGAGAACAGTGCTGGTTTGCATTCACTGGCTCTGTCTCAAGTATACCCCTTTGCCGCCTCTGTAAGGATAGATTTGGGCCCTTCATGTGCCCGTGTGATGTCATTTCTTGTCAGTAGAGGGTGTTGAAGAGACTATGAAGAAGGAAGGCTCACTTCCTTTTTCTGGGGTCAGCTGGTGAGGCTTCCCAGATGGTGAGCACCCTCTCCTCAGGTGGAATTATAGTTGTGTGCCTCTCAGTGAACAGCTTTCCCCATAACCCAGAGTGGTCCATGAGTATGGCACATGGTTGACTGTCACTCAGCTGAGGCTACACCCCCTTTTCCAGCAAGCTCCGTAGGTGAGGAAGCCCTGCAAGGGGCAGCTGCTCTTGAATTCTTTGCACTCCTTTCCTGACTAGCCAGTGCTTCCTTCCTCGATCCTGAGAGGGATTTCAATCTGGTGTGATCCCCTCTCCTGACATACTGAGTGATATGTGGTCTGTCACATGAAGCTCAGTCCATCCTGAAGACACTAGCCCTGTTCTATCCACTGTCAGCCCTCAGGGATGGCTGGCTCTGTAATCTGAGTAGGTGGCTCTGTAATCTGAAACCGTACTTCCAGGTGAGTGGTATTCATGTCCACAAGACATGGTATTCATGCCCACAATGTCCTCAGTGCCTGTGTGCTGAGATTCACAGGGCAGACGAGGTGGAGGTGTATGACACCAGTGCTTCCAGGCTTGGTTTGGATAGGGTCACCTTGTTTCCAGTTACAAAATGTACACAGTGAGGCTATTCCAAGGCCGGCGCAAGCAAGACTAGATGCTCTTCAACTGAGCAGCAGGGCACTTTCTGACTATGATAACCCATGGTCAGAGTCTAGCACAAAGGGCTCTGACTAGACAGGGGCCTCGGGCACTTCCTGGATGCATGTGGCCTCATCTTCATTCTCAGTTCCACAAAGCTAGACACTAATGACGTCATCAAGAAGAGTTATTTTGCTGACAGAGATGAGGTATAAAAGCACATCTGTACACTGTCATGCTCAGCAAGGGTAAGTCTGTTCAAGGAAGAACCAGCAGCCCCTTACCAGCCAGGCTGGGTGGCTTCAGTAGAGATGCCCATGTAGCAGAAGATCCCCTCCTCAGAGAGGACTGACCCATGGAGATTCACTGCCGGGATTCCATCAGCTCTCCCTGGTGAGGGCTCAGCTCTCCTCCCAAGCATGTGGCGATCCTCCATCCACCATAAAGTGCTCCTCTGTCCTTTCCCCTGAGCACTCCCAGGCCCCCTCCTCACCCCAAGGCCAGGCTCCATCCATCCTCTCCAACCTGAGGCTTTTATCTGGAGGTACTGTAGGCACCTCATCATTAAGAAAGAATTGGGTACAGGGAGCTGATGGAGGACATGTCAGATGTTCTGGAACTGGACAAATACGAAGATGGCAGACCCAAGGTTGCCAGAGCAAACAGCTAGGAAGACTTACTTGGCAGGGCTGAGACTGGAGGCCTGCTGGGGGAGGGCGAGGACAGCTCCTCCATCTAATAGTGTTTAGAGGAATCCAGCACGTACGGAAACCACTGAGGGGACCAGCTCCCACCTCTTATGTTCCTTAGGTCTGTCAGCCCCACAAGGCCACCTCCCTGTGACCTGCAGAACACAGCCAATTGTGTGGGGCTAACTCTGCAGCACCCATCGATCACCTAGGCTCTTCAGGGTGGCCTTCAGTGCACTCAGTGGAACTGCCATTACCCATAGGTCTGCAGCAGGAGTGTGATGTCAAGTAGACAGTGGAGTTGCTTCCCCTTGGAGCCTCTTATGGTACCAGACATCGAGTGGGGAGGCGGGTTGGGGCCACACCCTGCCTAGAGCCCTCTTCAGGGTTCATCCTGGAGAAAAGTGGGTCTAAGCATCCTGACACTACCACCTGGGGAAGGAGGGCCCGCCAACTCACACAGGTGTTTCCCAGAGCCGACTACAAACCACATGCTCGTTTCTTGCACAGGACACTCTCAGCCTTGTCTGCACAGTGGGGTCTCTAAAGACAGAGACCAGGAGGTTAAAGATAGCTTCCTGGTTGAAGACGGCTTTCCCCACGTGAGCACACAGGCCACATGCACAGGCACAGGATGAGGGAGCAAGGAGCAAGAGCAGGGACTGTCATGCAGCTTCTACCAGCCGAGCCAGGCAAGGGCTCTGTGCCTGGGGATGCATCAGCCCAGGCCAGGCTGGTTACCTATTCATCTCAAGATCAAGCAGGCGGGCAGAGAGGTCCTCAAGGCGGTTGATTTGTTTGTGGCACTGGCTACAGTAAAACTCAAAGGCTTCATCAGTGAGGATGCTGTGCAGCTTGGACGCAAGTGGGTCGGAGCTGGAGAGATGAGAAGTCAGTTCAGGTGAGATCAGGGCCCACCAGGACTGAGACCTCCACCAGGGCTGTATGTTCAGGCCAAGTGGCAGCACATTGGAATGAGGTGTTGTGCCCTGATGGCTCCAACTCCCAGGCTGTGCTCACCCCTTGGCCAAGGAGGACAATGTAGTATTGAGTGGTGGAGGCTCAGCATACCCCAGGTCCATTCTGGTTAGGTGCTTTTAGAAAGTGCTGGTTTCAAGAAGGGATGTGATGAAACATACACAATTGGTTGTGTTACCATGAGGCTGCAAGTGGGAACAGGGGACAAGAGGTCCTGCAGTCCCGTAAGTATGTACATGAAAGTGGTAAGAGAGGACACAAGACTGCTAGTGCCACTGTGAGGGTAGGGGCAAAGGACACAGGTTCTGTAGCCCTGCCTCAGTGTCACTATGAATGTGAGGACAGGTGACATGACATGACACCAGGTCCTGTGGTGGTGTTTCAATGTCACCATGAAGACAGGAGGACCACCACATCTTGTATTTAAGTCCCAGAGTCACTGTGAGTGTAGGGGTCATGTAGGAAAGCTGAGGGTTGACATCTGGCTTCTCTGGTGGGCAGGACAAATCTTCAAGGATTCACAAGAGGATCTGGAAACACAGGGCACTGTCTGGACACTGGGGCTGTCCCTAACAGGAATGAAAAGGACATTCATTCACTGCTATTACCAAAAAATGAAGAACTGAAGAAATTGGGAGCAGAGGGGAGAGGCTGCCACAGTGCACAGTTGTAGGTCACATAAGACCTCACCTAAGCCTGCAGAAGTCATCTGGGGGTTGAGGACAGCTCAGAGCTCCAGACTCAGGATCTAAGGAGCTCTGATGGCACAGCAGTTAGGCACAGGGTGAAAGTTTGGTGGTTTAGACCCATCAGTCATTCTTTGGGAGAAAGATAAGGGAGTGTGGTTCTGTAAACACCACAGCTTTGGAGACTCTAAGAGGCAGTTCTCTGTCCTACAAGGACACTGTGAGGCAGAATCAACTAGACAGAAATAGGTCTGACTTGGTGAGACAACCCTGATAAGAAGCAATGGAGACAGTCTTGAGTACCTGACTGCTAACTAAAGGGTTGACTGTTCAAACTCACCAGTAAGTTCCAAAGGAGAAACATGTGCTTGCTGTTGACATCCTCAGCTTTGCCCTATCCTAAGGGATTGCTGTGCGTGGGAAGTGACAGCAGCCCTAGAGAGGGCAGGAGAGCCCCATGTGAGCATGAATGCCTCCTGCTTCAGCTCAGACCCAGGGGAGTGTCTTGAAGCTACAGCCTCCCTCAGGGTTGTTAGGGCCTAGAACATGACTACACTCAGTGGTTTTTGGGGGACACACTGCTGAGCAGCACCTCTACTTGGTGTGATTTCACAAACCTGGACCGTGACTCATTTATTGATCAGATAAAGCTGGATTCTTTTTAATGATTTATGATCCCAAAGGGGACCTGTGGCCCCTAGGACATGTGGAAAGGAGATGAGAGGATGAGGGATCTTTACCTGGGGGTGAGCAAGGCAGGGCTGCAGCCATCCTCCCCTTGGCAGAGTGCCTCTGGGGACAGCCCGCCCTCGCTGCCCTCGCCGTAGTCCTCAAAATGCTCTTCGCCACCAATCACTGTGACAATGGGTGGACTGTGTGGGTGGGGTCTGCATGGGCAAACAAGAGAGACCACAGTGACTTGGGGTTTGAATAAGAGGCTGGCATCAAGTGCTCTCAAAGAAATGGCTGCTAGAAACAAAGGTGTACTGATGTCCTTTTTTTCTGCCTTCATAGAAAAAAAAGGGCATGTGAAATAGAAGCTGGGTGCTGACACCTCTTTACCTATAAAGTCTCTGAATCTGTGTATATCCATCTGTTCCCATATCTCCATGTCTGTCAGCAAAACTGCCAAGATCTGAAGGTCTCATGGCTATAGCATCAGATGCAAGGGAGGAGACATAAGTCCCTGACCAGGTAATCACACCAGGTCTCTGTATGAGGGGCTTCTGGTCCTCAAAGCTGCTAGTCAAAGAGCATGGGGAGATACAAGCTCAAATCCACCATGGTAAAGGATGACTAGCTCACAGAACTTCCCATGCCTGTTTTATTTCAGACAAGGGGCCTGATCATGGAGATTGAGGGGTTCCAACCATGTACCTCTGACAGGAGGATGCCCTTTCTCATCCTGTTTCCTTTGTGAAATAGAGCAGTAGGACTAGAGACCACAAAGAGACCTCAGAGTGACCATAGCACCCAGGCAGAGACACTCACTGAATGGCTGACCACTGAATGGTGGCTACCACCACAACCAATTGGCCACCAAGGGGATCTTGGTATTTAAAACCATCTGGCTATCCTGTCTATCATGTCCACACACTGCAGTCAGCACAACCCAGAGATTATGGCGATCATATCCTAGAGACCGCAGCCATGATACCTCAGATAATGCGGTCATGACATTCACAGACTGTGGCCATCACAGTCCAGAGACTGTGGTCATCACATGCCAGAGACTGCAGTCATCACACCTCAGAGAGTATGGCCATAACATCTCAGATAATTTGGTCATCACACCTCAGAGACTATGATCATCACACCTCAGAGACTATGGCCATCACATGCCAGAGACCACGTTCATCACACCTCAGAGACAACAGCTGTCACATTCAGATAACTTGGTCATCACACCTCAGAGACCATGGTCATCACATCCACAGACTGGCCATCATAGCCCAGAGACTGGCCATTGCATGCCAGAGATTACAGACATCACAACTCAGAGACCATTGCCATCACATCTCAGATAACTTGGTTATAACACCTCAGAAACTATGGCCATCACATGCCAGAGACTGCAGCCATCACACCTTAGAGATTGTGGTCATCACACCTCAGAGATCACGGTAACACACACCAGAGACTGCAGACATTTCACCTCAAGAGACTACAGCCATCACACCTCAGAAAACTTGGTCATCATACCTCAGAGACCAGTCATCACACCTCAGAGACTGTAGCCATCACACCTTAGAGATCGTGGTCATCACACCTCAGAGACTGCGGACATCATATCCACAGACTGTGGCCATCACATCTCTGATAACTTGGTCATCACATCTCAGAGACTGCAGTCATCACACCTAAGAGACTGTGACTATTACACCTCAGAGACTGTGGCCATCACATCCCAGAGAACAAAACTATCATACCTAAGGAATTGCAACCATCACACCTACAAGACTGCAGCCATTACACCTCAGAGACTGCAGCCATCACACCTCAGAGATTCTGGCCATCATATCCCAGAGTTTGCTCCCTACAGGATGTCTCTCCACCTGTGATCCCTGCTCTGGACATCCTCCCAAAAGGCAGTTTCTTATGTCTGAATGAGGTCACAGGTAGAAATGTCCCTACAGTCACTCATATAGTCCTAGAGAACTCTGTTCACACAAGCAAATTCAGAGACAAACACTCGTTGAGATGCCTGAAGCCAGGGTATAAGACACTGCCTGATTTCAAGGCCACTGACTACTCACTTGACAAAGGGCAATTATTTTACATGTCAATCTCATATCAATTAAAAAGAGGCAGCTGACAAGAGGAAATAGAGACCTCAGGCCTGACAGACACCTTTGAAACCCCCTGACAGTGAGGAAGGAAAAGGCTATCTGGAACACACCCCTGGAGTACCTGGAGGGAGACTGGTTATCTGGGAATTAATTTAACCACCAGTGGTGGAGGGACAATGTAGGAAAGGAAGATCGTGAATGAGATGACTGACATAGTAATTGAGGCAATAGGGGTTAAGTGTATCAGAGTCAGTGAGACTGGCTCAAGACAGGGCAGGGTTCAGAGCTGTTGTACATAGAACGCTGTGAGTTGCACACAACTCAATGGCACATAACAACAACAACGAGTGGAAAAACCCTAAAGAACAAGACTCTTCTGTTTGGAGATGCAGACATCCCTGAAGAAAACCAGGTCCAAGTTCAGCATGTCAGCAGCTGCTCTAAAGGGAAGTACACTCATCAACAAGAACAATGAAGCACTCAACCTGCATGCCTTCCCTGAAAGGTTAGTGGTGACGCCCACAGATGTGCTCCCAAGGATGGGTCAGCCCACCACAGTGACTATATATATATAGGAGTAGCTTCACCCATAAGTCATCAGGCTAACCAACAGTCAGGGAAATTAAAAGGCTATGGCCCCAAATGGAACACAGCTTTGATGAGTCTCACAAGTATGGTGTATGTGAAACTGTCAGATGTGAGTGGACACAAGGCCCCACTCATTGGCCAGAGTCCTTGGGCAGGGAATGGGACCACGGGAACCAGGACACCTGGAAGGACCATAGGCTGCAAGCAGCTGCGCCTCAACTTGGTCTTGGTCTTAACAATCACTGTGACTCAATCCTGAGACATGTCAGTAAAACACAGTGACAACTCTGCCAGAGCCAGCTGGAAAATGGAATCGTGAAATAAGCAAAAGAAATGGAAGTGTATTCCCACAGGCATAGCTGGATCCCTTGTCCAGGTCCTTCCAATGGATCTCACACTGGAGCCTGAGAGTGCTGGAAGAAGATGTGGTACAAAGACACTGCTGGAAGACATTCCAGATGCTGTCATCTGCTGAAAGACATGATCAGTCTCCCTTTCACCCAAGGAAGAACAAGCAGTACTCCTGGGCAGGTGGCATGGGCCAGTACCTCAGGCATGGGAAGAGCTCTAAATGGCCCTCTGGCTGAGCCTCTAGGAAGAAGTTTGATGTCCCAGCTACACATCTCTGTGTACCCCTCCTCCCCACATGGCCACACACCACACTGAGGACAGCACCTAGTACTTTCTCCCTCTCCACCGTACCCCATCCCCCCCTACTACATGCACACACTATGCCCACCCTGAATAACCACAGGACAGACCTGCCAGGCAGCAGCAGCAAGGCACCAGGGTCAGGCTCCTCCATGGCGTCCAGGCACTCGGAGGGCACAGCTGAGCCACCTGCGCTGTCAGCATCGGCCTCATGCTGCAGCTCAGGATGCACCAGGGTGCTGGTGTCCTCGTCTGTGAAGGTCTCACATTCACTGTAGGTACTTTCAGAGCCCATGTATGCACTGTCTGTCACCTCTGTGGCCTAGGGAGAGGGAGGCAGTGGAGCACTGTGGTCAGTAACAGCCTTGGGGTGCCTAAAAGGTGCATGTGAGTGGGCTATGTAGGCACTGGCACACAGGAAGCATTCCTCTAAAAAGAGATATATCTTAGGCAGAAGTGCTAGCACCAGACACACACGTGTACACTCGCTTCATTCATTCATACACACACACATACACACATACATACACGACATTCAACATTCAGATCCACTTCATCATCCTCTTAGGATGTGGAGATATTTGGTGTCTGATACAGCTGGGGCTTTAAAGACAACCCACAGGTCTGACATAAAAATGACAACCCAAGTCACAGATCTCTCCACGTCCTGAAGAGCTAAAGGTCTAGCTCCCCCTGGACACATGTGTCCAAGGGCCTGGCACCAGACTCACACCTGCCAACAATGAGAATCTGCGGACTGTATCAATTACACAGACCACCTTCAATTTGTGACCTCTACTTAATGAAAACACAACAGCAGGTTTAGAACAGTAAACTTCATACACTAAAAAGGTTCAGTGGCAGACAATCTTCCTCAAGTAAGCTTCTGACTGGATGGAGAGGTATGTGGGCTCTGAACTGGGTCTCTCCAGAAGTGAACAGTGTGGGCCAGACATACTGCAGCCACAGGAGCCACACTGACCACTTACTACCAGGCACGTTCTAAGGGCCAGCCAAGCCAACAGGAGCTCTGGGGGCCAAGAAGACTCTAGCTCCAACCCTGGTCACTTCGTGCACTTGCTTCCAGTTACCACATGTGTAAAGAAGGGTTACAAGTGCCAACACCTCACCAAGGGACAACAGGGACATCATGGGCATCTAAAATCCCTGGGCACTTGTGAAATGCAGGGCAAGCATTAGGGAAAGTGGGAAGTCCTTTTGGGGCCAGGAATGAAGCAGGCTGACATGGAATGCATCTGCTCCAGGTGCTCTGCCAACTTCACCCTCAAGAGTCACCCACTGGTCTTACAATGTCATTTGTGAGAAAGCAGCCAATTCAAGTTTCTCTCTATATATATCAAACTGACCATAGCAACTCCAAAGACCAGAGAGGAAATGTAGTGGCAGCTAGCTTATGTGAACGGAGGAGGAACAGCTCAGAAAATGGGGGTGAGGATGGCAGCCACCATCAACATTACTTAACACTTGAATAGAACACTGTTGATGTCAATAACTTTTTTATTAATTTAGTTTGTTTATTTTTCATTTCAATGAACATCTACAGAGATTTTGGAATTCCATTCATTCATTGTTATGTCAACAACTATTAAAAGCAGTCATATGGAAGCCCAAACTGGTGAAACTGTTTTAAGACACCATTGGCTATTCACTGACCACGCAGAGCCACTGCTGCCAGGAGGAGGAAAGACAGGCCAGGAGAACACGCAGCCCCACTGTCTGAGTCTGGGACACAGATGATACATGAGAACATCCTGAATGGACTGTTATCACTCTCACGACACTTACTTTCAAAGACCAGGGCCACCAAGAGCACAAAGCCCACCCTCCTCACTACACGACTGGCCTGGTAAGGACTCCATCAAGGGTCAGAATGGTGGCAGTACACTTCTGGGTGTGGAGACCTGGCCTTTGATGAGCAGCCTGGCTATTCACAACAACTACTGCCATCAACCCTTTTCCTCTCACCAGGGCCAGAAGACTCTTGCCACAAAGAGCTCCCAAGTCACTCTGCACAGGCTCCCAGGATCTCAGCTCTCCTATCAGTCTGCACACAACTCCCCAGGACTGCAGCCTCCCCTCCATGTCACTCTATACAGGACTCTCCCGGACTGCAGCACCCATGTTACTCTGCACAAGACTCTGTAGGACTGCAGTACCCTGCTATGTCACTCTGCACAGGACTCCTTAGACTATGACTCCCATGTCACTCTGCACAGGACACCACATGACCGTGGACGCTGTGTCACTCTGCACAGGACTCCCCAGGACTGCAGACCCTCCATGTCACTCAGTACAGGAGTAAAGCCTCTGAGCTGAGGGTCAGGGCTACAGCATAGCTCTCCTCAGAGAATGAAGATGGGCCTGGGAAATTTGTTCTCCTCAGACAGAGGATGCCAAAGTGGGCTTCTGTGAACTCATAAACCGGTTATGTGTCTCAGCCACTTACTCTCCTATTCTAGAAACCTCTGTCAGAAATGAAAAGGCAAAGTTCCTCCTACCTTCACAGCCTCACCTCTTAATTTATACCTCATTCCTTCTATACCCTAAGGGGAAAAAATCTGGAAATGATACACTGTCACCTACTATTCACAGGACTTTATTTCTACACTTCAGATTTGTTCCAAATTACAGACAAGGACGTTGAGTGATCCCACCCACATGGTGCTGCTATCAGTGTTCACAAGGGCCCAAGAGGTACTTAGTATAAAGGGTTTGCTCACATGAACATCCTACTTCAACCAAAGGACAACAGGGCCCCCAGATGGTCAAAGGAGTCCACCGAGGAACAGAAGAGCCACCAGAGGGACAGCAGAGCCAGCTGGTAACCAGAAGTCCACGCAGGCTTAGCTCTCTCTTTCAGGAGCATTCTCAACCTATCTATTCCTTGGAGTCTGGTCTCCAAGTCTGTCCTGACTAGTAGAGGCCACCTGTCCACCCAGGACTTCCTACTCAGTCCCCTTGGAATGACATAATCAGCTCACCGATTTGTCAGCTGCATCCTGATAGAACCTGGCCTTGCCCAGGAGTCCATGGCACCAACTTTTAACAAGTAACCAATTTTATCAAGTAATAGACTCCAGAACTGGTGAGTTAGAGACAACTCAACAGCAGTTAATAGAACAAACTCAGTGAAGCTCCAAGTTTCCAAGAAAGCTTGTCCAGATTCCATTATTGGATAAAAAGCCCTCCAGGGGCTCAGGTGAGACTGGCTGCTTGCTGGTCCTCTCAGGGGCCCAGGAGAGGCCAGCAGCCAAGGCTTCTATCAGCCATGTCCCTTCTTCCTCAACATCCCTCTAAGGTCACTGAAGAGCAGGCCACACCCCCTCATCCCAGCCCCTCTTACCGCAGACACCAGGTGGTGCACCCCAACCCCACGAGGGTAGGCTTCCAGGGGTTGCTCACAGCAGAGCCCTCCTGAGTGCAGGTGGTCCTGGGGCACTGTAAAGCCCCAAGGGCACATTCTCGCCTGGGAGAAAGTTTAACCACTGCAAGACACGCTCTGTTAGCTTTCCCCTAAGCTGCAGAGAGGGGCAGAGTTCAGGAAGCTCCCTCAAGGCTTTTACAAACTGACTAGGGCCTCTAAACAGAGCCGCTTTTGTTCTGGACTTTGAAATTTTGATAAGAATTTGTACAGAAGACACATTGGCCTTTTCCCTAGGAGATACAACATTCTCTTCCAGAGTGAGGGAGGGAGGGGGAGGGGAAGCTTAGAAGTAGTGTCCCCCACAGAGCCTCAGCCCAGCCTGCACCACCAAGGTGGTAAAGCCCCACCTTGCCCCCAGTGCCCGATCCCCACCCCCCAGGGATGAGCCCCTCTCTTCCCACAGTGCCCGCGTCACCACCAAACAGAGGTAAACCCCATTCTAACCCTGGTGCCCCATCACTGTTCCCCAGGAGTGAGTCCCTTGAATCCACCTCACTGTCTCCCAGGGTAGACCCTATTCTGTCCCAGTATCCTCTCATTGTTCTCAGAGTAAAGCCCATTCTGATTTCAGTGCTACCACTTCACTGTCCTCCAAGGAGACAAGCTGTGAGGAGTGTCTACCTCCTAAAAGGGCTGGTCATCATTGGACTTCATGGGGATGACCTCAACATTGCTGCGACTGGACCAGCAGGTCTTTGGGCAGCAGAACATCCAGGAAGCTGGGGTGCAGCACTAGTGCAGGGTCAGCAGTGGACAGCCCCATGCGACAGGCTGTCATCACACACATCTCTGCTCACATGCCCACTGGGCGTCCTGAGATGGCATAACATAATACGTGTTTTTTTAAAAAAAAAACAACCCCAAAACCTCTCTGTAACTTCCTGGTGCCAAGCTCCATTCCTCTAAAAAAATGGCAAGAGCTGAGGCTGATATGGAGTCACATAAACATGCCACTTACCTCATAGGTGGCGAAGTCATCGAACTCATCAGGGCAGGCTGGGCTCTCTTCGCCCTGGGTGGGAGTGACACCATACAGTGGGCCCTCGGAATCTGATGAAAGACAACAAAACATTGGCCCAGCAATCACCCTCGATAACCCAGGGAGGCCTGGGGGAGCTCTGTGGCTGGTGAATGCAGGGCAGTGACCAGAGGCGGCAAGAGTCCTGGGGGTCTTGCCTGAGGCCAATGGTCAAAGTAAACACAGACTGTCCACAAGAAACCCTGCTGGGGAGGAGCACCTGAGACAGAAAAGCTGCCTTCCCATTGAAACTGTTTTTGTCAGAATTCTAAAGAGGTTCAGTACAGGTGGATTGTTATTGACATTTGTTAAAAGGAAAGGAATAAGATTTGAAGCTCTGTGAAACTGTTTACGAAACAAACAAACAAAAAAAAGTTAGTCAAGCGACTCAACGGCACATAACAACAACAACAACAACAGGTACTAACGTTCAAAATAGTAAAAATGTGCAATTTGTCCAAGTGCCCATGAGATGGAGAAACAGAGGATAGATAAACACAATGTGGCCATCTATACAATGGAATAATACTCAGCCATAAAGAAAAAATAAGTGGACATCAACAGGTGGAGAAATCTGACAGGGTCCATCCAAACTATGAAGTATTACCTGGTCATAAAAAGAAACAATCCAAACGTCCATCAACAGATAATGGTGAAAAGCATGCCAGTGGCTCATCTTGCAGCCAAACAAGATAACCAGGAAGGCACTTATTCCCAAGAACAATCAACCACATAAAATCTAAAGAGGAGCAGGAGGGGTATTTCCGTAAGATACAGCTGGTCAGCTTGTGAGACTGTGGTGGCTTGAGAATGGCTCTGATGCTGGAAGCAGCATCTCTGACATTTCCAACACCAGCAGGGTCACCCAGAGTGCACAGACTTTCATTTTATAGTGCCTTTGGACTGAGAGAGATAAGGAAGAAAGGCCTGCAAAATCAGCCATTGAAAACTACAGCATACAATTTTATTCTAGCCAGTTGAATGGAAAAAATCCATATTCGTTCCCATTCACCCAAAAAAGTGATCCAGCAGAATGTAAAAATTATCAAATGAATCCGTTACTATCACATACAAGTAAAATTTTGCTGAAGATTATCCAAAAATGGTCAGGACAGCACAGTACAGAGACCTGTCAGAAATTCAAGCTGGATTTAAAAGGGGCCATAACATGAGGGATATCATTGCTGATGTCAGATGGAGCCTGGCTGAAAGCAAAGGATAGCAGGAAGACATTTACTTTTACTGACTGTGTTGACAATACCAAATTATGGCTAACACTGAGAAGAATGGGAATCCCGGAATATTTTATTACATTCATACAGAACATATACATAGATGTCAGTCTGGAGACTAAGGTGCGCCTGATACAGGCCATGGTTTTGCAATCACTTGTTATGTGTCACAGAGCTGGACAATGACGAGGGATGACAGAAAGAGAGTTGATGCTTTTGAGCTGTGGTGATGGAGGAGAGTACTGAATATACCATAGACTGCTAGGAGAACAAACAGGTTTGTCCTTGAGTGGGTGAGAACAAGCTGCTCCTTGGAGGCAAAGATTCTGAAGCTTTGTCTATATACTTTGGACATGTGGCCAAGAGTGATCAGTCCTTAGAGAAGGACATCACATCATGCTTAGGAGGGTGGAGGGACAGCACAGGAGAGGAAGAACCTCGAAGAGATGGATTGATTCAGTGACTGGGATAATGGGGGATAGGTGTGTCAGAGACAGTGAGGTTGGCACAGGATAGAGAAGGGTTTAGGGTTGTTGTACATAGGGTCTCTATGAGTTGCAGGCGACTCGATGGCATATAACAACAACAGCAATGAGATACTTCACCCCACCCCACCACTCTGTTCAGCTTGTGACATTGTGGTGGCCAGCACGTGGCTGTGATCTAGAAGCTGCACCACTAACATTTGAAATACCAGCAGGGTCACCGATGGAGGATAAGCTTCAGCAGTGCATTCAAAATGAGATAGGAGAAAAAAAAAATCCTAAAAAATCAGCCACTTAAAATTATGTTGACCCCCTAGGTGCTGTGAGTTGGCATTGACCTAATGGTCCCTACAGTTAGAGAAACAACTGCTCTCCCACAGGGAACTGCCCTAGTATTCACAATGACATGTGCTGACATGAGTTGCAGCCACAGAGACTCACATACATACACATATATACCATACCTGCATCTGAGAGATGCATACCAGAGACAGACATGCATACATGTACACATCACAGAGATGCTTGTACATCATATATTAATACAGAGACAGCGCCTTACAGAGACCACACACACCCCCCCCATGCCCATGCATCAGAAACACATATCACTCAGAAGCAGATGCTCAAACATGCATGTATGCACACACCAGAGGCAGAGATGCATACATACACACAGCACAGATATTTGTACACATACCACACAGATTTTTGCACACACACAAGACTAAACAGATATGTATACGTACACATACACTCACCCCACCAGAGACAAACTTATCACCCAGACACACATACACTCATATCCTGCTTCAGAGAGAAACTTACCACACAGAGATGTCACACATCACATACTATGTGAAAAAGTACATCCCACACATTCGCACACTGTTGTTATGTACCATCGAGTCAAAAGAGACTCAAAGCTGAACCTCCAGTGGGTTTTCAGAGGCTGTAAACTGCATGAAGGAGACAGCCTATCTTTCTCTCATGGAGCAGTTGATACTCAAATGGTGTTCCTTTGAGTTGCAGTACAACTTCTTAACCACCAAGACACCGGAGCTCCCTTACATGTGTATATACCACATCAAATGACACAATCATCTTACACATATGCACATCACACACACTCTCTCTCCATACAGAGATACACTCACACTCCATACAGATATACAACCTACGTTCAGAGAAACATAAGGACAGACAGACAATATATGTAAAAAGCAGTATACAAGTAGTACATGTGCATGCTTTCATTCCGTAATCTTTAAACCCTCCTATAACTTTTACAATTTTTCATAATAAAACTTTTGAAAGTGTGACACTACCTCCCCAACATACTGGACATGCAGCTATGTGCGTCGGCCCAGGTGGCAGGTGTTCGAGGAGCAAGGGTCCCCATCCTAGTGGCAGGTGTGTAAAGTTTGTGTGAGGAGGCATGTGCCCCACCAGATGGCAGGTATTCAAGGAGCATGTGAGGAGAAGTGCGTCAACTTGGGTGATGGCATGAGATGCCATGTGGGAAGAGTCATGTGCATACACCTAGGTGGCAGGTAGGTGAGGAGCTGGGCATAAGAGGAGGGAACCAGGAGCTCTGAGCTGGGAGGAAGTAACTGGGAAGTATTAGGGCTGTTAAAGGTGGGTGGGAGGTAGAGTGGGCTACCTAACCTCCATTTCTGATGGCCTCGATCCCTCTGTAGAAGTCTTCAAAGCTGATGACACCGAGCCCACCAGGATCCAGGTATTTTGTCAGCTCTTTCACCTGCAATAGTCAAATGAGAACATGTCAAAGCCTCCCCAGATCAAAGGTACCGAGCCCCAGAAAAGCAGCTGTGTGTGAGAGCAGAAGACTGCGTCAGTGGCCGCAAGTCCACGGCAGACAGCCAGCATAGCCTGAGGGATGCCCCTGGGACCAGAATTCATGGAAACAAGGTCTTGCTCGCAAGACACCAGCAACCAGCAGTCCGCATCTCATATGGAAGGATGAGGATTGTTCAAATTGAAGTATTCTACTGAGAATCAGATATTCTTGCTCAGCCTATGCCCGCCCACACCCACCCAGCGAGCCTCCTAGCCATGTGAAGTAGAAAAGTGAAGTAGGCAAGTAGGACACTCAGAAAGTCAAACCCACTGCTGTCCAGTGGACTCCAGCTGCTGGCAACCTGCTAACAGGTTCCTGAGGCTGTAAATCTTACTGAAGGAGCAGTGGGTGGATTCAAAACATCTGTCTTTTGGACTCCAATCTGACGCATAACCCACTATAGCACCAGGGCTACTTGATGGTAGAAGTTGCAACAAGCAGTAAGATCATTCACTTGTGGATGCTAAAGCAGACAGAGATCTCTGTGTGCCAACAAAGTGAAGAGACCACATATGGGCAACTGGTCAGTAAGCAAGACAACACATAAATAGGAGCTGTTCTAAAAGACTAACTCACAGGATATATCCTGATAAAAACACAACTGCATAAAGATCCCTTACACACACACCAGTGGTGGTCCTTGCAGTGTTCATGCTGGTGGTCATCCTGGCACTGCAGGGTATGAGGGGTCAGTAGATGATTACTCCTCAAGGCAATGTGGCTGAGATCTGGGAGACTCCATTTGGCTGAAGGTGGAGACAGAAATGTGACTGGAGATGACAGGTGGACATCCTGTGATCCAGAATATGTATTTTGGGTATCACTGTAAACTCATGCTGTATTAAGAAAACCTGCCCTGAAAATGAGTACCCCAATAACTTGACTGTAGCTCCAGACTCCCATCTACCCCAAAAGATAGCAGAGCCCTCAGAGGAGAGAAGGTTGGAATGTCTTGTCCACTAAAAATTACTTTAAGTCATGCCAAAGAAATGTAGGGGCCATCTATCCACAGAGAAGCAAGGGCAGGCAGTGAACACAGGGTACACAGCTCAGGAGTCACCATTAAAGTCTCTGAATTATAAGCCTCAAAATCACCATCACAATGGCAAGCTTTAGTGTGACCCACTGTTTATTTCAAAAACCTGTCTGTCGGCAGGAACTTGCTACAACTGGGGAAGCTACAGAGGAGATGAAGTGGGTCTCTCAGAGAAGTGGCTACTGAGGATTGAGGAGGTTGAGACAGAAGTGGAACAGGGGCCATCTTGCAGGGCTGATGGGATAAAGGATAAAGGCAGCTCTCTCGCCAGGCGTCCTCGTGAGAGAGACATCATCTTTAAACCCTGCGTGGCAATCCCTGACGCACTGCAGTGATGCCCAGGGAAGACAGGGTGACCTGGAAGTCCAACTATTAAGATCATTCAACTTCTGGATGATTATCCGAAATGCTTCATCGTGGGTGCAGACAATGTCAGCTCGAAGCAGATACAGCAGATCCACATGTCCCTCCGCGGGAAGGCTGTGGTTCTGATGGGCAGGAACACCATGATGCATAAGGTGATCAGGGGCCACCTGGACATCAACCCGGCCCTGGAGAAGCTGCTGCCTCACATCCAGGGAAATGTGGGGTTTGTGTTCACCAAAGAGGATCTCACTGAGATCAGGGACATGCTGCTGGCCAAAAAGGTGCCAGCTGCTGCCCGTGCTGGTGCCATTGCTCTATGTGTGGTTACTGTGCCGGCCCAGAACACTGGTCTGGGCCCCAAGAAGACCTTCTTCTTCCAGGCTTTGGGCAGATCTTAGTGGTGACTAAGATCTCCAGAGGCACCATTGAAATCCTGAGTGATGTGCAGCTGATTAAGACTGGAGACAAGGTGGGAGCCAGCGAGGCCACCTTGATGAACATGCTGAACATCTCTCCCTTCCCCTTCGGGCTGATCATCCAGCAGCTGTTTGACAACAACAGCATCTACAATCCTGAAGTGCTTGACATCACAGAGGAGACTCTGCATACCTGCTTCCTGGAGGGTGTCCGCAACGTTGCCAGTCTGCAGATTGGTTACCCAACTGTGGCTCAATACCACATTCCATCATCAATAGGTATAAGTGGGTCCTGGCTTTGTCTGTGGAGACTGACTACACCTTCCCACTGGCTGAAAAGGTCAAGGCATTCCTGGCTGATCCATCTGCATTTGTGACTGTTGTCCCTGTGGCTGCTGCCACTACTGCTGCTGCTCATGCTGCTGCGGCCCCAGCCAAGCAAAGAGTCAGAGGAGTCTGACGAGGATATGGGATTTGGCCTCTTTGCCTAAAAACCAAAAAGCCACCAACTCTGCCAGCTTTGTGTGAAACAAGGAAATAAAGGTATTATTCTCTTAAAAAAAATAGGGTAAAGGCAGACATTCTCTGCTCTGTCACAGGAAGAGGCCACAGACCTCATGGTCACCTCATAGGAGCACATCTCCCAAACAGTATCTAAGTTCACTGACACCCCCTAGTTGGCACCCAGAGAGGAAACAAAGAAACCAAAGGAACACGTGCCACTGACGTGATTAGGAAACCCAGTCTCTGAGAAACTTTACAGACAAATGACCTGCTTTTCTCAAGCAAGGAAAAAAGAAGGGTGGGCAGCAGAGAGGAAATGATATTAAAGAAACACAGAAAACATATCAACCCAAGTTCAGAGGGAGGGCATTTCTGAATATTTAATCAAATAAAAAAATTACACATTTCCTTAAAAAAGTCATCTTTATAAGACAATTGGAGTTCAAATATTGATGACACTGTTGTAGAATGGGACTGTCCTTGGGGTTGGGGAGAGACTGAGTAAGATGGGTTCAATAATGCATACTGCACTGAAACAGAGGAGGGAGAGAACTGTTTAAAAGAGATATATGACTAGGTATTTCTGTCATCACAGGAGTCTAGAGCGAGGGCTACATGGTGGAGGGGACCTGGGGGAGGGTTTGTAAAACAATGAAAGAATCCTTTCTTTTACTTTTCCATAATTTTTGACTCATGTACTTATAACTTGTTAGTCAAATTTGTGTCTTCTAGGTTGCAACACCCCCATGATACATCTTCAAGGATATGAACATGTACGGCCAAGCACAATCAATAAGAGTGCATCTAAATTCCAAAATCAATCTCCGTAATAGTCTATGTGTTTCCTACTGCCAAAGGGGCCCTTTAGAGTAGTGAGAGAAGATCTTCACACTGAAACCCACAGCGTCCCTTTTCAGCAGGAAGTAGCTAAGAGAATACGCCATCCCCTTTTCCTTATGAAGCAGGGTGAAGTCTCTCTCAGGGAGGAGTGATAGGGAATGGCAAAGGACACACTGACAAAGGAAAATAATCAGAACTGACTTTGACAAGCACTGTGGCAACTGGACAATTAAAACAGACATTCGGATGGCGGGGAAGAAGAACAAACTGGGGAGGAGGGTAGAGAGAATGGTGCAGCAATGAAGGAATGAAAACCCAAAATCCCTGTAAATGTTCATTAAAACTAATAAAATTTAATAATAAAAAATGTTGATGAATATCTGATAAGATTAAAGAACAAATTTTCTAGTTGTGATAATGATATTTCAGTAATTTTTCAAACAGCCTTGACACAAACACATATAAGGGCTAGGGGGAGGTACTGACTGATGGTTATGAGGTTGGGTAATGGGTACTGGAGGAGTCACTACCCCAATCTCTACTTCCGTATTGCATTTTGTATAATGTTATGTTTTCCAAAAAGACAGAGGAAGGAAAGAGAGAGGAGGAGGAGGAAGAGGATGTGAAGGAGAAAGGGAAGGACATGCAGTTCATGAGAGGGAGGGATGCTACACTTCAGGGGGGCTCACAAAGGGCACTTCGCAAGCAGCTGACACATGGTGACATTCTAGATGGAAAGGAAGTCAAATGTGGAGTTGAGGTTGTGTTCAGCCAGGCCATGGCTGAAGCCAGACCTTAAACGTCATTAATTCAAACAGCAAACTTCCAAAGGCCTCCCGCATACTGTCTGCTGGCAGACACTGCCACAGTGATGGACTGTCCAGGGGCGGCATCACCAATGATGCCAAGGAGGAGGTCTCCAAGGGAGATATCTCCTACTCGTATGTTTGAGTACTTGTCTCACATCTCACTGACTACTGCACTGTGTGCTGAGGGGAGCCCCATTTCTGCACATTTAAGGAGGCTCACTGGGCAGATTGCAAGGTGAGGTCAGGGGACTCAGACAGAAACATACAAGGGGAGTAAGCAGTGTGCACAAGCCCCAATGTGGACAAAGAGGGGACAGTCAGAGATCCTGCAAAGGTTCCTATGCTAATAAACTAAGAACGGGGTGCCAAAAGAGGGTGACTGGGTATCTCATGGTAGGAAAATGGATGGAGTCACAGAACTGCAGAAGGTGAGAAGTGACTATCCTGGAACTTGGGCCTGAGGCCAAGTGTCAACAAGATGCCTAGAGGCCTTCAGAAAAACTGGGTACCAGGAGCCCAGAGTCCAGAGTAGCATCACACTCACTGAGATCCTGCTAACTAGCGCTGAGGGCAGGGCCAGGGCAAGGAGACCAGACACAGCTTCCAGAGCCCCCAGGTGCTCCATGCCAAGACTCAATCTCGGGTTTGGCACAGGTATATATACCTGGCACAGGTGCAGATATGTATACACACAGATCACAGAGAGACACCTTGCTAGGAGCAATGAAAATGTCATGGCTCCCAGCTGTAAACAAAGGACGACGCTTCAACGATTTAGATCCTCCCAGAAGAGCTGTGGGTGAGCATTAAGCCTTCTGAGGTCCCAACTCTTCTCACTATTTCTTAATTGTTGGAATTGACAGAAAACCTCATAAGCAGTTCCTTACTTCACCTCTGCCTTGCATGCAAACTTCCAAGTTGTAAAACAAC